TCAATAAAGTAACGATATTTATTATATAGTAAAGTAGTTAAGTAATTTGTTTTAACCAAACCTTAGTGTTATCGATTAATTTTATTGGCATTTATTTATTATACAAATCGCTATAATCATGTGTACCTAGGAACAATTACGGAACTAAGCATTTCCTATAAACATGATGATATATATACATGAAATGATCGAATTCACCAATCAGATCAGAGAAAAATACATAAAAACAAAATGTACTGTATTTTATCCTATCATTTTCATTTTCGGTACGATTACAATCAACTAAGTCAAATTGTTTAAAGTCTTGGTACTAGTTTAGTAAAACATAGAATCTAGCGTTCTGTTTCAAGTATATCGAGTTAGTCTATTGTTTGTATGCAAAGAAAAATGGAGCAATAACAGATAAAGTAGATGAGGACTATTTTATCGCAAATAACTATATACCGTTCGTGATGAGAATGGATTCTGAGTCTCTTAAGATCAACATAGTACCTGAAAAACATGAGTTTTATAAATCTTACGATGAAACTCATCGTCTTTTGTTGAATAGATTTTCATCATCTATTCAATGGACCTAGTTTGCATTTTTGAATCGACCCATGAAATGGATAAACACCAAGTGGATAGGAATGGGAAAGAAGTCCCAAGAAAGGATTGGTTAGAGAATGCTGGTCGTCAGCCTATACTGTTGTATTAGGGCTAATTAAGCAAGTTTGCAAGGATATGGAACAAAAAACAATAATTGGCTGTTATAACGGTTGTTATATTTACTTACGTCTGTTACACCTATTGGTGTATAGGGCGCCGACCAGCATTCTCCAGCCTACTCCATCCTGGGCCGTACGTTCCAGTTCTATCCAACTGCTGTCCATTCCTCTCATGTTTGTCTCCGATTCTTGGTGAAGTGTGTCCCTTGGTCCACCACTTTTCCTTTGGCACTGAGGATTCCGAGTGAGGGCTTACCTCGTGATCAAGTCAGGTGATTTTCGCAATGTGTTTTACACAACACGACTTCTTCAGCTGGAATCTGGTTTGTTCTCTCCAACAATAGGTTATTGCTGACGGTGTCTGGCCAACGGATCTGCAGAATTTTATATAGACAACTGTTAATAAACACCTGTATCTTTCGAATGATGGCTATTATATTTCTTGTGGCTTCACATCTAAATCAAATCCTCCTTATCTACATACAAACCATGCTGTCCAGGTATGTAAAGGTTTTCACACCCTTCAAAGCTCTATCAAGTGTGATTTGGTTGTCACACGTATTGTATCGGAGGATGTTGCTTTTTCCCTCGTGTATGTTGAGAACTACTCCTGCAGAGGCTGCAACTTGGTCATAACACGATCGATCCTTATGAAATCCAGCCTGCTGAACTCGAAGTTAGGCGTCAGCTGAATCTACTAGTGGTTTAACAGCACCCTGTTAGAAACCTTTCCTTACTTACTTACTTACTTACTTACACCTGTTACCCCCAATGGAGCATAGGCCGCCTACCAGTTTTCTCCAACCAACTCTGTCCTGGGCTTCCCTCTCCAGTTCTGTCCAATGTTTGTTCATTCCTCTCATATCTTTCTCTATTTCTCGGCGTAGTGTGTTCCTTGGCCTTCCTCTTTTCCTTTTGCCTTGAGGGTTCCATGTGAGGGCTTGTCTCGTGACGCAGTTGGGTGCTTTTCGTAGTGTGTGTTAGAAACCTTTCCGGGTATTAAGAATAGAATGGTGCCTTTGTAGTTGTAACACTTGCTAAGGTTTCCCTTCTCTGTAATCTTGATGTGTCCTCCTTTCCAGTCTACTAGTACTTGTTCTTCCTCCCAAATCCTGCTGAAGGCTGCATGGAACATCTTTGCAGTTACTTCTATTCCTGCTTTGAGTGCCTCAGCTGGAGTGTTTTCTGGTTCTTCATTTTTACTTCTCTTGATTGGTCTAATTCCCATGCTAATTTCTTTAACTTTTGATAGGAGATCTGTAGATGCTGGATGGGTTTTGTAAGGGTTGATCTATTCAAGAGTTCTGTTTTTGAGTCTCGGTGATTGGTTCGCCTTACTTGTTTTTGGCTGGTCGTTCTGGTTTAGTTTTAGTTTCATTTCGGCAACCAGAAAGTTTGAAAATCTCTCACCGTTTTCATTCCTTTCTCCCAGTACATGTCGTCCCATGATGTTTTCAAACCCAGTATTGTCTATCCCAACCTTGTCATTGAGGTCTTCCATCAGAATGGTCAAGTCCTTCCATGGGCCTTTCTCGATGACTGTCTGCTGCATCACATAGAATTGATCTTTATCATCCTCATTGTTATCATTGGTGGGCGCATTGTTCTTAATTAAATTCACTGAAACCCTCTCTTTCTTTGTTTTGAAGGATCCTTTGATGGTCCTAAGTTCATGAGATTTCCATCCGATAAGTGCTTGCTGTGCTTCTTTGAACAGCATCAGTGCAAATACTTGTATGTTTGAGTAACTTTCTTCTTCATAGTTAGGGTACAACAGCATCTCTCCTGAAGCTAATGTCTTTTACCCAGCAAGCGTTTAATGTGTTTCATTTATTCTAAGCACTGTAAGTTTGTATCTTTTCGTTTCTGAAAAAAACTTGAATAGTTCTTTCGTTCTCCCGAACTGCGCTAACATTCCATGTACCTATATCAATTGTTGCTCTGGTTATGATAAGGGGCACTGGCCTCGTAACTCCTCTGGAGACCCATCTTTCACTATGTGGCTCTGGAACCTTCCTAAAGAAAAACCTTCCAAGTGCTAGGGCAGAATTTAAATGGTTCGAATTGTTTTTTCTGGTTAGCCCTTTTTAGCGAGTTGTTTTCCTATAGAGTAGGGCTGCTACTTTTTTCCGTGCTTGTTAACGGCAGTAACCCTCAAATGGCTCTAGGTGGAGTTACCAATTGTTTTAGCCCCCGGACAATAATATACGTTCGATTTTATAATTGTGCAACCCACGAAGAATTCACAACCAAATAGAATATGGAGAAGGCAGTTTATTTACAGAATATATACATCTAGATATGCATATTTGTAATACTGACATTGATTATGTTCTCTGCTGATCTTTCTTAGTAATGCCTCAATAAATGTCACATGTATGCCACTCTGTGAGTAGCGTCAACAACAGTTCCACCAAACTCTAACTTATTGAGTTATATTAGATAGTGAAAATTCCCACAATTAAATCTTCATGGTCAGTTTAGATAGTTCTCTTTACTTACTTATGGGTTACAGAAAATCAAAATCAAGGGAAGATTTTCGATTTTCTGTAAGTGGATATTTTATTCAGGTGGTCAATCATAATTATTCATCACAGTTAGGTGAACACTTGAGAAGTGCCGCACGGTTTGAGGGTAAATGATTTTTTTTAATTTACAGACTGTGGCCTCAGATGTGAAATATGTACGACACAAATTGGCAAAAATATACGAAACTCCAGAGCCAAAGTCTGCTAGAACTCATTAATCTATGCTTAACAACTTATTCTCAATTCAACAACAGACTCTATGAACAAACAAAATGAACACCAATTGGATCACCAATATCAGGACTCTTCGCGGAAGCTGTAATGCAGAGACTAGAAGAGTCGGTTTTACCAGTGATCAAGCCAAAAATGTGGGTTCACTATCTGGACGACACATTCCTTATTATTAAAAGGAACGAGCTGAAACACATCTACAATCGGATCAACAACATCTTCGATGACATCAAATTCACCATGGAAAAGGAATCAAACAGCAGTCTGTCACTCCTGGATGTACTAATCACCAGAACTAAGACAGGAAAACTGGAAACTCAAGTATTTCGGAAGCCAACCCATACAGACCTGATTCCCAGCTATGGTAGCAACAACCCAAGAACCCACAACATCAACTGCATACAAACTGTGTTCAGTAGAGCGAGGACACGCTGCAGCATGTATGGAGCACTAAAAATACGAGGAAAAACATCTTGTGACTGTCTTCCAAAAGAACGGCTATCCATGCAACTTCATCAAAAAACATCAACCGAAATCGTCAATAGAAGCGAAATCAAGTACAGGAACCAATAAACGGATCATCCTACCATACATAAAAGACAAATCGGGGCATACAGCAAGACTACTGAAACTATTTAGAATAGGTGTGGCACACAAACCAACAGAATCACTTCAATCAATCCTATGTAGACCAAAGGACAAAATGACAAAGGAAGAAAAACCAAATATCATCTACAAAATAAATTGCTCAGACTGTGAAAAACACTACATAGGACAAAGTGGACGGCCTCTTCAGCTTCGCTTACGTGAACACCAATTAGCAGTCAAACGCCACGACAACTCTTCGTTTATATTAATACACACTGACGATTAGGGACATACATTCGATTGGAACAATGTGGAAATACTGGATAGGTGGAGGACAAAGAACACTAGGGAATTTTTAGAAGCTTGGCACTCAGGTCAATCAGCAATCAACAAACGCATCTACATTGACCCAATTTATCAACCAATCAGGAAAATCATAGGTGACATAGGATCAAGAAACAGATCAAAAGGGGGATACAAACAAAACAAAGGTACGAAAAACGACAGACTTAAGGTCAACAACAACTAATCAAGATCGAGGTTAACAGAACAAGCTACCAAAACATCCAGCTCAGAGAACAAAACACCACCACAATCATATCCACCTCAGCTACAAATTTTCTCCACCATCTCATTATGTACATAATATATTAATGGCTGAAACATATTTTTCAACTCATAAATGATTGTTTTATTGATATGATCAATATTGTTGGTAAATCTTTTGAATGCATGTTTCTCGATAATAATAATAATAATAATAATAATAATAATAATAATAATAATAATATCTTATCCTGAAATGGTTTTCTTCAGAGAAAAAAATGAATAGATTGAAGAAGTATTAATTTTCTCAATTAGTTTTTGATTGGGCTCTTTATTGATCTACTTAATTTACCACAATAACAATCAAAATATAATAAAAAGTGTTGTTTTTCAATTTTAGATTATACATTTAGTAAGCCTCATGGGTAATGTACCAGTTGGATCATATTGGACAGGTGGTAGATTAGTAAGATCAAAACATACTGGAATTTATGATGGAAGTACTATGAACTCGAGGATAATGTTAACATGGTCGGATGGTCGAACTACACCTGCAAACATATTGGGTATAACTAATGAGGATGAGAATAATCTTGAACCAGGTGTGACATATTGTCTGTCATTAGATATTGTACGACTTACATGGCAAGCTCGTGATTGTGAACATCGTTTACCGTATGCATGTTTGATTACTGTACGAAATGTTCTTATTCAAACTAACACTGGTAATTCATCAATTGTTGTTAAAACACCTCAGTCCATTAATGGTACACAAACTTTTGTCAATCATAGTAATATTACTTCGAAAAGTCATGGAGAAGTACTTGAAAATTCCACTACATTTGTCAACAATTCAGTAAATAGTCAACATTTGAAAAATAATCAAACCGTTTCATCTTTATCAGAGATCACTCCAGCAACTCCAACATTCACAACCAATGCAGCAAGTACTACAGAGAATTCGTCTATTGTGACAAATACTACTGCATCATCTCATGATCAGAATAGTTTACATTTAGTTACCACAACCGCATCTACCGTACCTCCCAAGGTGACTGAGAATAGTGATTTAAAGCAAAGCAGTGGAAATTCTTCCAAGACACAGTCTACAGAATCCACTTCTGAAAATAATCACACTGTTGATGTTCCCCCTCTTCCCAAAGCTCAACTGTTTGACAGTGATGACGATAATGATAACGACAATGATCGTGATGACGATGATGATGATAAGGATGACGATGATGATGATGATGATGAAAATGAAGATGTTCAGAATAGAAATAGAAAAAGAAAACTTTTTGGAGGTCCAGATGATTTTGATGAAGAGGATCTAGAGTCGATATTGAGTGGCATTTCTCAAATACACATAACACGACCACCAGTTATTACAACAACAACAACAACTACTACTACCACTACTACTCCTGCTACTACTACTACTACAACTACCACTACTACTACTCCTGCTACTACTACTACTATCACTACTACTCCTACTACTACTACAACTCTTCCTCCCACTACTGTTGCTCCTGCAACCGCTCCCACTACGACTATTACTTCTACTACCAATACTAATCCTCATAATGATATCACTACGGATAATACTATACCAGCTAGAACACACTTACGGGAATCGGTTATGCTAACGACACCAGCAAATAATGAGTCACAGTTACTGTGGAAAACGCTGTCTAATTCGACAGTAAGTGTCGAAACTACTTCCACTACAGCTAATCCTGGTGTTGCTTCCACTATCACTGCTACTACTCCTACTGAATCTTCTACTTCCACGACTGTTGCTGCTGCTACAACCACTAATAGTACAGCTGCAGCCAATGGAGAAATGTTCACAGAAAAAGCTACTGAAAATATTGAGATGACGAGTGAAACATCACCGACACCAGCTGAAGCGAACTTACAGGAATCGGCTATGCTAACGACACCAGCAAATAATGAGTCACAGTTACTTTGGAAAGCGCTGTCTAATTCGACGGTAATTGTTGAAACTACTTCATCTACAGCTAATCCTGGTGTTACTTCCACTACCACTGCTACTACTCCTACTGAAACTACTGCTTCTTCGACTGTTACTGCTGCTACAACCAGTAATAGTACAGCTGCAGCCAATGGAGAAATGTTCACAGAAAAAGCTACTGAAAATATTGAGATGACGAGGGAAACATCACCGACAACAGCTGAAGCGAACTTACAGGAATCGGCTATGCTAACGACACCAGCAAATAATGAGTCACAGTTACTTTGGAAAGCGCTGTCTAATTCGACGGTAATTGTTGAAACTACTTCATCTACAGCTAATCCTGGTGTTGCTTCCACTACCACTGCTACTACTCCTACTGAATCTTCTACTTCCACGACTGTTGCTGCTGCTACGACCACTAATAGTACAACTGCAGCCAATGGAGAAATGTTCACAGAAAAAGCTACTGAAAATATTGAGATGTCGAGTGAAACATCACCGACACCAGCTGAAGCGAACTTACAGGAATCGGTTATGCTAACGACACCAGCAAATAATGAGTCACAGTTACTTTGGAAAGCGCTGTCTAATTCGACGGTAATTGTTGAAACTACTTCATCTACAGCTAATCCTGGTGTTACTTCCACTACCACTGCTACTACTCCTACTGAAACTACTGCTTCTTCGACTGTTGCTGCTGCTACAACCACTAATAGTACAACTGCAGCCAATGAACAAATGTCTACAGAAAAATCGAATGAAAATACTGAGATCTCGAATGAAACATCACCGACACCAGCTGAAGCGAACTTACAGGAATCGGCTATGCTAACGACACCAGCAAATAATGAGTCACAGTTACTTTGGAAAGCGCTGTCTAATTCGACGGTAATTGTTGAAACTACTTCAACTACAGCTAATCCTGAGGTTTCTATCACTACCACTGCTACTACTCCTACTGAAACTACTGCTTCTTCGACTGTTACTGCTGCTACAACCAGTAATAGTACAGCTGCAGCCAATGGAGAAATGTCCACAGAAAAAGCTACTGAAAATATTGAGATGACGAGTGAAACATCACCGACACCAGCTGAAGCGAACTTACAGGAATCGGCTATGCTAACGACACCAGCAAATAATGAGTCACAGTTACTTTGGAAAGCGCTGTCTAATTCGACGGTAATTGTTGAAACTACTTCATCTACAGCTAATCCTGGTGTTACTTCCACTACCACTGCTACTACTCCTACTGAAACTACTGCTTCTTCGACTGTTACTGCTGCTACAACCAGTAATAGTACAGCTGCAGCCAATGGAGAAATGTTCACAGAAAAAGCTACTGAAAATATTGAGATGTCGAGTGAAACATCACCGACACCAGCTGAAGCGAACTTACAGGAATCGGCTATGCTAACGACACCAGCAAATAATGAGTCACAGTTACTTTGGAAAGCGCTGTCTAATTCGACGGTAATTGTTGAAACTACTTCAACTACAGCTAATCCTGAGGTTTCTATCACTACCACTGCTACTACTCCTACTGAAACTACTGCTTCTTCGACTGTTACTGCTGCTACAACCAGTAATAGTACAGCTGCAGCCAATGGAGAAATGTTCACAGAAAAAGCTACTGAAAATATTGAGATGACGAGGGAAACATCACCGACAACAGCTGAAGCGAACTTACAGGAATCGGCTATGCTAACGACACCAGCAAATAATGAGTCACAGTTACTTTGGAAAGCGCTGTCTAATTCGACGGTAATTGTTGAAACTACTTCAACTACAGCTAATCCTGAGGTTTCTATCACTACCACTGCTACTACTCCTACTGAAACTACTGCTTCTTCGACTGTTACTGCTGCTACAACCAGTAATAGTACAGCTGCAGCCAATGGAGAAATGTTCACAGAAAAAGCTACTGAAAATATTGAGATGACGAGTGAAACATCACCGACACCAGCTGAAGCGAACTTACAGGAATCGGCTATGCTAACGACACCAGCAAATAATGAGTCACAGTTACTTTGGAAAGCGCTGTCTAATTCGACGGTAATTGTTGAAACTACTTCATCTACAGCTAATCCTGGTGTTACTTCCACTACCACTGCTACTACTCCTACTGAAACTACTGCTTCTTCGACTGTTACTGCTGCTACAACCAGTAATAGTACAGCTGCAGCTAATGAAGGAATGTTCACAGAAAAAGCTACTGAAAATATTGAGATGTCGAGTGAAACATCATCGCCACTTAATAATTCATATATGATGAGGTCCTCAGAATCCCCTATTTTATCAAGTGATTCCTTCGAAGAAGGTTTTACTTCTACAACCACTAAAACACACTTACAGCAATCGACTCTTCCTACAACACGAGCAAATAACGTGTCGAAATTGTTGATAAGAACAATATCGAATTCGACACTAAATGTTGAAACACTGTCAACTCCGCTAATGGAATCTGCAGAACAAACGATATCCACACCAGAACCATTAGCAACGGAAATCTCATCTACGTTAACAGCACCGATGTCACTTCAATCAGTGTTAACAACTGAACCAACCCTTTCAACAACATCTACAGAGCTTCAATCAGAAGGAATAGCTGAGTCGATAGGCTTGGAGAATGTCACCACATCTGAGGTCACAACACCAACGACATTACAACCAACTATATCATCCGAGTCGAATACAACTGTCGGATTAGAATCAACAGAAAATGCACTTGGATCTAATACACCTTTGTCAACACAATCAATAACCGTGTCTGAATCAACAATACCAACAGAGTCTATGGTTATGGAAACTCCGCAATCTATAATAGTAACTTAGAAAAGAAAAAAAGTGAGAAATATTAGGAAAAAGCAACCACTTCCCTTATTTAAAATTATAATAAATCAATGAAAGTGATTTGATAATTGAATTATTTTATATAATGATTAACTAACTTGAAATGATTCCATATTGAAGATTGCGTTAAATTATTTCAATCTGTGTATTATTGTTATTTTTTTCTTATCCATCATGGATAAGCAAGCGTTTCATGCAAATAAAAAAGGTTAATTTTTTTAAATATATTTATTGTAATTTTTTTTGTATGAAGATTCTTTGAGTTTGAAGCAGCAGAATAAAAAAAAACAAAATTCAAGTGTAAAATATTAAAAAGTAATAAAAATTCTTCCATGCTTTTGAAAGTTTCATGATTTGCTGTGATGGTTTGTTTTTTGTCATTCTTATAACGGCGAAACAGGGCCGTTAAGAGTAGGGGACATTCATAGGTTACTAGTCTTTGATCATCGATGTCTCCGAAGCATTGCTAGTGTATCCTGGGACGACCGAGTAAGCAATGCTATCGTTAGGAAACGAGTACTAGGTAAGGATGGCAAATCAATAGATGAAGCATTGAAACTTCATCAGTTGAGGTGGCTGGGATATGTGTTACAAATGCCTGGCCACCGACTGCCGCGACGAGCTATGTTTTGTAGTGTAAGAGTAGGTTGGGAGAAAGCTAGGGGCGGCCAGACCAAAACATGGCAGAAATCCATGAAGTCACTGACTAGTGGACTGAGTCATGTTGGTAGATGTAGGCTATCTGGTTGGGGTCCGCGAGACGTAAGTCACCAATAGTTAGAGACCTTGAACGACATGACTCAAAATCGTTTGCAATGGCGCAGGTGTATCCATTCTTTGTGTTCTCTCTAATTCTAACCTTCTGAATTCCTCATAATCTCTTACTGTTTCTAAATTTATCTCACTGAATTATACTTCTCGAATAATATCTCCGCTCCCTAATCTTCTCCATTACTGCTAATACTTCTATTATTGCTATCACTCATGGATTTGATCTGACAGTTGCGTCTCTGTGTGCTGACGTGGTATGGCAACCTGGACTTATGTACTCATGTACGAAGTTCTGCGTTGTATCTGTCTGTCTGTCATTCTTATGACTTAATTGATTTGATAGAATTTTGTTAATCACTGAAATATAATGGAAAATAGATAAATAGTGTTGAATATTTTTATCAGTCTTATGAAATATCAAGTGATTGAAGTTAAGTAAAAAAAAATTGATAATAGGTAAGTGGAATTTGATACTGTTCATACAAAAAAGTGAAACTTCAAATTCACTTATCAAATTAGCATGAGTAACAGCGATGTCATTTGTATTTAATTTAGGGCGTTCATTGATGAAGACTTTGATAATTTTTGGAATTATTTATTATATCACAGTTGTAGAAATTATTCATTTATTTTATCAGAATGCTACTGCTTCTATACAATCAAAATATATTAACTTTTTTTCAAAATTAAAACAGACTATTTTGATTTAAACATTCCTAACATTGAACACTGAAACTTAAGATTTTTATCAGAGGTTTTTAAAAAGCATTTTCGATTAATTCGTGGGAATTTTAAACATATTTCTGTTAATTCAAGTATTTATCTTCCATTGCGCGACCATTTACCATTGAATCAACCAAGACAGTTGGACTCCTTTGGTCACTGTTTCTCAGTAGCAATCCGTGAATTTACTCTCGAGGCTGGTCACTATTGGGCATATGATAATTTTTTGTATGGAGTTTTGGAGGTTGGTAAGCTTCAGTGAAATAATCAACCAATATATGTTAGACAACAATTGAAAGAACTGAAGCACTGAACAACGTTTTGTACAACTCCCTCGATTGTTTGAGTCTAGACACTGTTGTCGTAGATGCCAACTCAGTGGTCTAAAGGTTCAGCGTTCATGCGCTGTTAGTTTTATTTCTTGGTGCGGTGTCGTGGATGTGCACTGCTTACTGACTTATGCCTGTTACCCCAGATGGAGCATAACTTTGAATGACATGGATGAAAATAGTTTTCAATGGCGTAGATGTACCTGTTCTTTGGATTCCCTCAAACTCTAGTCTACTGAATTCCTTGTGATCGTTTTTTTCTCTCTTTAAATTTATTTCACTGGATTATATTCCTCGAATAAAATCTTCAAACCCAAATCTTTCCGATTACAGCTCATATTTCTACTACCACTATGGAATTTGAACCGATAACTGCATCTCTGTGCTAATGTAGTATGGCAACCTGAAGTGATGGACGTACTTACTAATTTATGACCGACTGACTAAGAAGTTGATTAGTTCTATTCCATGGCAATCCAATTGATTGATTGACAAAGTGAGTTCACGATCACCAGAACTCAACGGAACGGCATCAGTATACTACTGATTTAGAATAAGTTTGGTAATCATTCTGTCTTACTCTGAATAATTTGTCCATTCCTAACTTGACTAAACACAGATTTAATACAAATTTTTGAAGCCAGTCAACAACTACAATATAATTGTTCTTTAATGTGGGGGATTTTGGGATCTGCTGAATGCGAAGAGAGTTCTTAATGTCAGTTGGTACTGTTTTTTTTACCCTGCATAGTCATTTTTCATAAATTTGGAAATCAAGAATATAATTTTCAAATATTCAAGTTTTATCCTACTCAATTCTGAGACAAGGTCTTAGAAATTCTATGAATTTTTGTTTGTTCCACATACTCAACAGAATAAATCACATAGTATTTGTAACCACTCAACACAGTTTGGGATGAATACGGACAACCAACCAACTCTATTCTAAGCCCTCACTTACAGTTTTAACCAATTACTAGTCACCTTTTTCATTTCTATCTCCATTTCTTTGTTCAGTGTGTTCCTTAGTCTACCTCCCTTACTTGGGCCTTGAGGATTAAAGTGAGAGCAGTTGGGTGATTTTCACATTGTGCTCTATACAACCTTAGAGCTTTTCCACAATTTCTTACTCAGCTGGAATCTAGTTTGTTCTCTCCAGCAATAGGTTGTTGCTGGTGTCTAGCCGACGGATCAGCAGTATCTTGTGTAGACAATTGTTAATAAACACCTGTATCTTTCGAATAATGGCTTTCGTAGTTCTCCAAGTTTGCGCTCCATACAATAGAGCTGCTTCTAATTTTGCATCGATAGTTGTTGTAAAATCCAGATATTCAAGTGCAGAAATATTCCTCTTGCTTTATAAATTCATGTTGCCACATCTGCATCAGATCCACTTTGCTTATCAATTATGCTGCCCAGGTACGTACACATCTACCCGACTTCCAGAGCTTCTCCTTCAAGTGTGATGTATGTTGTGTTGTTTCAGAGGATCCTACTTTATGCCTTGTATACGTCGAGACCTATCGCTACAGAAGCTACTGTCACACTGGCCGCCTTCATCTACATTTGTTTCAGTGTGAGATGGAGGCCCAACTCTCTAAGCTGTCAACCGTATCTCACGCTTCCCCTCAGATGTTCACACCATTGTAATAATGCAGTCAACAACCAGAAGAGAACGGTTGAGAGTAAGCAACCTTTTCTGACACCGGTTTTCATTTGGAATGAGTCTGTGAGTTGCCCTCTTTGCACGATTTACTAGTTTAATCCATCATACGAATTCTGTATGATGTTGAAAATCTTCTCAGTTGCACAATAACGTCGAAGGAGTTTCCATTATATCATCTTGTCCACTCTGTCGAATGCTTTCTCGTAGTCAAATAAGTTGATGCATAGAACTGAGTTCCATTAAATAGACTGCTGCTTGCGATTCGGTCAGCAAACTCGATTGATACTTACGGAATCAAGCCTGTTGATCTTGAAGTTGGGGTGTATATTGAATGCTTAATTTTGTTGGTTTTTCCTGGTGTTGAGAGTAGTGTCCGCGTCGAATTGTAAATTTGACTTACCACTTTTGTGGGCCGTGATCTAACTCCAATATTTACGAATGATCGAGTACCCTATTAAATAAATCCATCTAATTTCCGTATATCATATTTAGGCACACCCTCTTTGTGCGACGGCGGTATTAAGATACCAAATTCGGTTTTGCGGATAAATTTACCTCATGCATTTATTCACTCAGATAGTTATGAGAATACGAAGCGTAAAGGCCAAGTGAAGTGGAGAAGGTAATTGAACCAACTTAATGCCATAAAGCATGACCAATTATTTATAGTCAGACATGCATTAAGCGGCACACACTCCAATAGAAACCACCAGGATTTAAGCGAATAATTGGCAAAGTCGAAAGACGCGCGAATAATTCGAGAAGAATGGATTAGCCAGTTTGTCCAAAGTCTAGGGACAAGCCTTATGAACTCGACATATTAGTAGTTAACGCACTACATGTGATTCCTCTATAATTACCACACTTGCCAGGATCTCCTCTCTTTGGTATCATGACAAGGTGTCCTTTTCTTCATTGTGTTGGTACTTGTTCTTCCTCCCAAATTTTATGGTGTTTTGAACCTGACTTCCTACTCAACTATCAGTATACTAGCCAGGAAAAAAATCTCGATAATCAATTCTTTTTTGACAGTTGGTAGTCATTGAAGCACGTGCTTTACAGCTTTAAACTAATTAGCGTTTGTGGATATAACTGTCTTGCACAGAACTAACTAAAATAATTATGATACCATCCACTATAATCAAGGTAACTGGATAGATATTTACAGTTAATCAACATATATTAGCAAGTTATTTGATAGTGTCAGTAACGTATCGTAGAGAGAAACAGACTGATAGCCTGCTCATCTAAATTCCTTGACCTTCGGTGCAAAATGTATTTCTTAACTAATTCATGTGAAATAATTACAATTGCATACAAGGCAAATCATTCCAAATTTTCTCAATCTACATTTGTAGTGGATCTACTAGTCGGATCATTCGGTTGCCGAAGTTGATGGAGCAGGTTGGAACTTAGGCTGAAAGTTGAACATCTTAGCCAATAAGCCACCGTTCCAACTACAGTTACTTAAAATAATTATCGTTACTTTTATAACAGTATGTGTTTTACAAATCTTTCCTTATAGATATCCATACACTATAGTCTTATTTACTTCGTTTTAGTTATACTTGTTCCACTTAATTTTCAAGTGCGATTGATATATATTGTCATTTTCTCTATGTATTTTCATTATACTAATCGGTAATTTAAACTAATTCATATTTGTGTCACGTCCTGATGAATATACGTTATTAAATCACTAAGAAACATCAGTAGCGAAGAATTGTTGAACTCTGAAAACGCATTTAACCACAAATAAAAATCTGTCTGTAAAATTTTAACAAACAAACAAACAATTCACCAAGTTTATATGATTTCAACAATGACACAATCATCTCTCACAGTAAAATCTATCATGTTCTATATAATACTATTATTATTATAAAGTAAAATGTATAGAAACATTTTTTTAAAGAATTCTTCATGACATATATATGTAGATATAGATAGACAATGAACAATATTTAATAACTGATTCGTACATTGGAAGTACACGTGCAGAAAATAGGTAGTGTATGTGAATGTGAGTTGTTGTTGTTAGCTATGCGCATGTTCATCACATACACTTCTACACATATACATTTATATTTATGTGTAAATAAACATCGGATGGTAATTTTATGTAAACACAACAAAATCAAACATCACATGAAAATGAGGATGAATTGAGAGAAACAGTAAGAAAAAAAAATGCCATTTTGTAAAGTGAATTCAATAAATGGAGTGAAACGCATCTTCAATAATAATAATAATTGTGATATAAACATATGAGCAATTAAATGTACACAAAATGAGAGAATATATATATATATATATATATATATATATATATATATATATCAGAATAGCTAATATACAACAATCAGTTGTGTAAGATATATATATATATATACTTCAGTCTAACATCGATAACGATTATCAATATGTTTTTAAATACAACTAAAACACTGCAGAAAACAATTCATACAATCAATCTTGTGAACAGAATATTCATTCATTGCAATTACTTGGCTGGTACATCATAAAAGAACCAAGCCAAAGGATAACGAATGATAAATGCGAAACAGGAACAAAGCACCTGAAAAAAAAACGTAGAAAAGAAAGTGGGTAGTTATTTTGTTGGAAGTGATTTTGGAAAATAAAAGAGAGAGAGAGAGAGAGGGAAACAGACGGATACAACGCAGAACTTCGTACGTAAGTACATCAGTTCAGCTTGCCATGCCCCATCAGCACAGAGATGTAACTGTCAGTTCAAATCCAAGAGTGATAGCGACAGTAAAAGTATTAGCAGTAATGGAGAAGACTGGGGAGCGGAGATATTATTTGAGAATTAGAATTCAGTGAGATAACTTTAGAAAGAGAAAGATAGAGATTATGAGGAATTCAGAAGGTTAGAATTAAAAAGCGCACAAAGAGTGGATGCACCTGCGCCATTGCAAACGAGGTCTCTAACCATTCATGACTTTCGTCTCGCGGACCCCAACCAGATAGCCTACATCTACCAACATGACTCAGTCCACTTGTCAGTGACTTCATAGATTTCTGTCATGTTTTGGTTTGGCCGCCCCTAGGGAAACAGATAAACTATGAATGATTGGAACAAAGATCTAGAAATAACAGAGTGATAATTTTTAATACGGTTTGTGATAGCGCAGGTGAATTCATTCTTTATGTTCTCTCAAATTCTAATCTTCCAAAATTTTCATCACCATTATCTTTCTCTTTTTAAATTTATTTCACTAGATCCTACTTCTTGAATAATGTCTTTGAACCCTAATTTTCTCCATTACCATTTCTCCTCTACCACTATGGGATTTGAACTGACAATTGAGTCTCTGTGCTAATTTGGTATGGCAACGCGAACTTATGTACGTACGTACGAAGTTCTGCATTCTAACCGACTGACTGAGAGTGATAATTTTAGTTAAACATAGGCATGATAATAATCGGTCAAAAAGGGAAAATAATTTTTTTGCTGGAAGGCTGTCTTGTCATAGTATGCAACTCCTCACAACAGTACGCATTCGCGACACAGCATTTAAGAATTGAACCAAGAATTTTTGATCTTGTAAGCTAACGCTCAACTTCTAGACCAATTGAGTCAGCATCCGATGGCAAACATTAATCTTATGCAAACCTTATCCAGTGCCTGAACTAGATGACTGTTATAGAGATGGTGATATGTGTGATCGGGGATGTGCAATGCTAAGGAGTTTCATACTGGGATGACCGTCTATTGATTCAAAGTTTTTAATGACGCTATCGTTTAGATCGTTTTGCGATTTCAACTAAGGAAATCAAATACATTTGTTATTTTACATAAGTGTATTTATGGAATAATGGTTGCATAATTAAATGCAGCAAATGTGCATTTTGCAAACATTTGTGTTTGGCACAATAGAAAATGAAAGAGACATTTTACTTATAAATGTTGTGAAATCAATGTACGGGGTTTAGTTCGTACACATTAAGTGCAGCATGAATCAAAAGTTGCACTCAAAAATTATCAGCAACAAATAACCTAATTCTAATCAAACAGAGTAGAAATGGTTATTTATAAAAATAAATAATAATGACTGGATGTAAAGTAAAAATGCTGAATTATGTAATAAAATTTGGTCAAATTACTTGACAGCTCTGTGTTCGGGACATCAGCAAGTGGGCTAGCCTTAAACTAAATTTGCTTAACTGCTATCTATGAATGACTGACGATAGTGCAAAACATTTCTGTGTGAATTCGTGTAAACTATGAAATGTTGTGCAAGGAAAACCAACGCCGACAAGCTTTCTGAAAAGTAATTATTTTTGAGGAGCAATTATTCTCGAGACTAGTTATATTTAAAAACATATCGAAAGTGCTCTGTCAACTAAGTTAAATCATTGAACTAACAGATAAGGTTACAATCTATCCCGTTATATCACCCAACCGTGATTAAACAACTAGAAATGAAGTCATGGTATGTAAATTATCCCATTGAAGATTCACAATGGAAAACTCTTATTGAAGAGAAAGAATTACCACAATGAAATAAATTTGGTGTCCAGATTAATATGTGAATTGTTTTATACATAAATTCTAAGCTAAAAGCTCGAACGCAGTAAAACTAGTATTCTTACTTGGAGTAGCAAAAGAATATTGGTGGTCTGTTGTTCACTTTTTGGTCCCATAAGACGCAACATCATATTTATAACTGTAAGGTTGTCTACTTCAACAATTTCTTCAGTAGGTAATTTTGTTTGAACTGGGCTTCGACTTCTGGCGTTTCGTCTTTCTGATGTTTGCTCTTCATCAGAAGACATATTTTCATTAGATGGCTGTGAAACAATCGTTTCTGTTCTAGACGATGCAGAAATATTCGGGATACAATCAGGGCAAAGTTTGCATTCAATTATGCCCACGTACGAGAACACAGTCAAAACAAACTGACCAGCACGTGATAAAGACTTTGGATGAAAACGGACACGACTAGGGTGTAATAGACCATCTGCTGGATCGTATCTATAAGAAAGAAACATCGAAACATTCAATACCACATCAATAATATATTTCATGCGAGTGAGACTTAAAGTAAACCGGAAGCCCCTTAAGAGTAACCTAGCCACATGTTGATTTTGCTGTGTATGTGTATGTCTAGACCAGTAGTAACAGCAATCTTGAGGTGGATATTCTAAAACTTAAATTACATATTTTTCTTAACAAACTTTCGAAAGGAAAATGATCAAGAACATAAGAACTACACACTAGTTGTCAATACTTTGTAATGGACGAAACATTAACTTGATATAATAACTAATAAGTCATATTAAGAAGCCCAATACTGAGAAATATGGTATTTTGGTTGAAATATAAAAGGAACATTATATTGTTACAAGGATTTAATCACAAGAGATACTGTCAATGAGTCAGCTAAAACATAGAAATTCATACGTACGTACATCAGTTCAAGTTGTCATACCACATTACCACACAAAGATGGAATTCTCAATTCAAATTCCATATTAGTAGAGTTTGTAGTAGTATTAGTGGTAATCAAAAGGATATAATTCGAGAAGTATAATCCAGTGAAATAAATTTGAAAAGAGAAAATATGTCATTAGGAATTCAAAAGATTAGAATTTAAGAGAAGACAAACAATGGATGCATCTAAGCCATTGAAAGCGACTTCGATCCATGTCATCTAAAATCTCTAATCATCGGTTACTTTCATCTCACCAGCCGGAACCATGTAGTCTACATCTAACAACATGGTTCAATCCAGTTGTCAGTAACATCACGGATTTGTGCCACTCAACGTGTTTCAACTGCGCTACTCATGCCTTCTCATTTAAAAACGGTTGCATAACATCGTAATTGGGTATGAGTCACACTTAATAAGTGAGGGTTGATGATATTACCGGGCTACGAAAACTGAAGGTTGGGAGTGGTTCGAACCTTAGACATACTGGTTGAAAGTCAAACACTATAAGTACAAAACCACTAGTAAACTTGTGTTTTCTACATATCAATATGAGAATTAATACAATATCATTGTACGGTTAATCAATAACTAATAGATAATAAAATGCACCAACAGATAGAATTTGTGTAACTATCAGCGATAAAATCACTAGGTTTTTGCTTATATCAGATGGTTAATAAAAACAGAAGATTTGGACCGAATCGGCACTAGTCCAAATTCCCATACCAAGTTAGCAAAGCAACCATTTAGACAATCAGAAGGGATTCTGGTAAGATCACAGTAAAATAATTGACATGGAAATGATGATACAGAAGCTACCACGATGACAGGATGTTAAAGTGTCCAAGTAATTAATCATAAAAGATACCTTGAGTAGTTTTCAAAACAATGTGTTGCTAACATGCTCTAAAGAAATTAAAGCAAGTTAATCATAATGACCTAACTATAAAATACAAAATATTGCACTCTCAATACAATAAATAAATATAAGATCATCAGTAAACTTTTGATAAACTCTTGTCATATAATTTACCGAGGCAATCGATGTCGTGGGCAGGGAATCAAACCAAACAGCTGAGGGGTGCTATACAAAAAGTTGACGATTTGCGGTAGAAAGAATAGTAATAGTGTTTTGCTGAAATGACCCAAAATACCGACCACAGCAAACGTCATTCCTGCAAAATAACAAAATGTATCACCCACGAAAACCTTCGCTGGATATCTGTTAGAAAAGAGAAGGAAATATTACCAGATTATTTTTAATATATTAAAATTCAAACAATTCATCTGAAGAATGAAAAGCACGACAAGATAGTTGCTTGTAAATTTAACTAGCATATGACAGATTCAACAGAGATATTACTTTGATTCATATGTTAGATTGAGATCTATTCGCAATATAATGGCAAGAACTCAAGTCCTTCGTAACTTAAAAACACAGTAGTTAGCTTTGTTTTAGAGTGGAGCTTTGAGATATAGCCGTTGAATCGGGACGAAATAAAGACACTACAATTACCTCAAAACATATATTTTCGGAAATTGCTTGTAACCGAAAGAAATACTACTAGATGAATCAAAACATTGAATATGGTTTAGAACATGAGCTGTTCTTCTTCTGACACTACGAGGACTGGTCTTTTGGTCATATCTTCAGAACTTACACAAAAAACCCAGGCAAACTTCCCTATACATGTTTTTAAAAGCTACTTGCAGGGTGACATCACTATTGTGAGTACAGGGAAATGTAGAGAATAAGCAACTCTTCAGGACGATGCTCCCAGTTATGTTTATAAAATAAAACAGCAAACTACCTAAGTACATTGATGGATTGATTTGTGAACTATGCTGAGTCCATCATTAAATTACATAATAAGCTGGATGGTATAATGTGTAAATGTAACTGACTAAACCAGTTGAATTCAGTGAATAAAAAGAGAAAACAAACATGTATTATAAGGATCAAATTAGAAATGTGTTTTCAAATGTTGACAACTTCATTATTCACTACTTATTTTTCATGTCCGAAAAATTTCTGATTGTTTATTTCAAAAGAGTTCCGTTCTGACGATTTTTTTTCCTGGTGTATACTGTTGAGAAGTATGGCAACTAGCATCAAATCACTTTGTGTTCTGTTGACTAACTGGCTAAAAACGGTTGAATGATGTCTATCATACTTTCAACTAAGTGAACTCAAATACATATTATGATAGAATGCTTTATAAATAGTAGCAAAGTTGACAAAACTCACCGGTTTACACGATATAGAGACCAACATACAGCCAAAAATGGGATCAGAAAGTAGAGTGAGAAGAGATGAACACGCCAGTGATAACCTACAATGTTAAATGGATTTATGAACTGATTACAAACTGTACAAAAATGGGCAACATGGAGGAATCTACGGGTTGACAGTTCAAATTCATTATGAAACTTAAATAGACTAAGGTTTTTCCATCTGCCTGTTCATTTGTCCTCGTGTTTTACATTTAGAAAAGTTTCTCTGTTGTCTACAAAAACAATGGGACAGTTTGACTTAATTGAGATTCTATCTAAACTTTAAAAAAACTGCACTTTGATCTAAGCTTTTTATATTACTTTATTTGTTTTGAAAGATAATAAAGTCATTAGTTATCGAATCATAGTTTAGATAATGTATTCCTACTTATTATACTCATTTGCATTCTAGCCTTTATATAGCAGTTTCTGTTAAATCAGAAAAAACTAGAAAAACAGTAACTTCCAGGACTGGTGTACGAATAAATATGATACATATTCTACATACGTTGTTTTTAATAAACTAGATTACTGACCATGTATACCCCATTTATCATAAGGTTATGATAAATCTATTAACTACTTTTGTACAAATTACTATTTCTTAATCTCTTGTCAGTTTTCGTTATTGACGGCCACTTTTGACTTGCTCATGTACAGTTGTATTTTTTCAGTTTGTGATGTGGTCTGATTGAAATTATAAAATACAGAAGTTCGCTATAGACTTCTGGACTAAAGAGCCAAGGTAGGAAAGAGTTACTGAGTCGTAGATCAATAAGGACTTCGCGATCGCCTTGAGGTTACTGCTGCTGATCCCGGTGTGTATGATCGGCTAAGTCAGGGATATAAAGCCTAAGAGTAAATAAGAGACTATTTTGGTACGTGGATTAAAAGCGAAATAACTGTCAAAAATATCCAGGCTTCCAAACGACATATCTGAGAACTCTACAACTTAAAGTAATAATACTACTACTGCTAATAATATTATTAAAATAATCCTGAGGGAACAATTGGCGTATGAATCTATTGTTGATAACTGGTTACCGTAAGACTACAACTCCTAACGTTGCTCCACTGCTTTTTGGATTAGACCTGTGCGGTGCAGAAACATTTAGGTACCCTTTTGTACAGATGTTCATGTGTTTAAATAAATAAATAATTAAGTAGAGTGAGGGCATACAACCAGCTTTTTCCAGTGTTTAGTTCAAGCAGTGGTGTCAGGCAGGGCTACCCTATCCCATCATTACTTGCAACTTTTTCTCTATCGATGACATTTTGGAAACAACTTTGATGCATATAAATAATGATGATGTGGATCTGTTACCCAGAGAGAGAGAGACTTTTCGGTCAAGCGTGTGCGAATGATGTTGTTTTATTGCGCGATGTTACCCATGTCATGCACAATTTGTACTTTATCCGTAGGTAAAACACCTAAGTGCGCAGTACTTCTACAAGACCGTCAGGACTACTAAGCTGATAATCACTAGAGAGAAGCAGTAGAAAATTTCATATATCTGGATAGCTACGTAAATGTTAGTGGTAGCATGATTGATGGTCAGTGCTTGACACAGTGTCGTAGTACGAAAGAAAGTTGTACAGGACTGGTTTTTGTTGGTACTTCACGACTTTCTGGTTGGGATTCTATGGATGTTGCATTTCAGTGGCTTGAGATATTATATCGGATACGGTTCAGAAAAGAAGGCAGTGACGGTCCTGCTATAATTTCATTTTACTTTTTTATATAAGTGAGGTGAACTTCTTTAACTGGAAGAATCTTTTTAAGTTTCATCTTTCTTAAATGATCTGCTTTTCTCACCATTATTATTATTTTGCTCCCATGAACTAATTTCCATTCAATTTTTTTTCCCTTTACATGATATCCACACTCCTTCCTCTCTATTCAAAAACTCGTTTCTATTGTGATATATATATATATATATATATATATATATATATATTCGGTGCCTCACTGTACCAATATTTGTTTCAATGAAATAACTTGGTTCCTCATCTCTTGAAGAATAAGTGAAACGTCTCACAAAATTTTTTTAATGACTTACCAGTAAGCTCGATTAGGTTGAACAGAATTAAAGAAGCACCAATCACTAGTGCTTGGCCAGATTCAAGACCATTTACTCCCGCATATATGTTGATAGTATTAGTACAGAATACAGTTAACAAACCCATATAGATGTAGTACAAAATACCTAGGTAATTTGAAATAAAGTATCAAACACAATTCGAATAAACTAGATTTCAACGACGATGAAAAGTGAAACTGATGGATATATACACGCTGAATAATGGTCGAACAATTTGAAGTAAATGAGGGATAGCTTTAATCTTAGCAAATAAACTATTGAAATGTGAACCTAGCCATACAGAAATCAACCAGCATCAATAAAATTAAGCTTATATGATGCTAGGTGCAGAAAATGTCGATAAATAAAATCTTGAAATTCAACTCTATTTTGAAGACTTATATAACAACCAGTGATACCTAGCTGCCCATGAGCACCTTTCGGTAGAGTCAGATCGCCCGAAGTGAGCTCTGAAGACTGATTTATTTATGATACTTGAGATGCTTAGCTTAATATGATGGAAAAGACTCAAGGATTTGGATATTTTTTAATTTTTTAAGGTAGGCTAAAATATAAGTAGGATATGAAGAAATGAGTTTGGGTCTAATATTTTTCCTTAGTTAGGTCAAAACAATTTAGAGAGTACAGGGAGTAAGGCATACAGCTAAAAACTAGACGTTTCTTCATTATAGAACGGATAATAGCGACCGTCTGCTGCAGCTATGCTCAGATAACCGCCTATTTCTAGCAATCACTAACTTTAAGCATAGGGCAAGACATCTTTTGATCCAGCGATCCTCAAAACCGACCCAACGGTGGACACAACTAGATCACATCGCTACTTTGGTAAACCTTTTAATGACAGACACTGCCACATCAAAGGAGAAGCTTAAAAAAACTAGCTGCTGTGAAGAGTTTGCCCACTTAATTTATTTGAGAAAAGAATGAACACCTACAAAAGCCTACGATATAGCGATGATGGCATGTCAGTCAGTCAGCAACAACATATAACTTCGTACGTACGTACACCAGTCCACGTTGACCTACCACATCAGCACAGAGATGAGATTGTCACTTCGAAACCCATAGTGGTAGAGGGAGTAGAAAATTTTTTTTGAACCAACAGCTTTAACACAACATGTATGCAGCTGATACCAAAATAGGATTTACAGACAACTATAAATGAAATCAAGATCCTGGAGAGCAACGAAGAGTAACTCGACTAAATTGGAGTCCACTCCAAAACAATTTTTAAAACAAGAGGAAACTAGCACTCCAGGTACAGGTATTTAACATGAAAAGGAAATTTGAACGTACCGATGTCTACACTACCACCGAAAGCATTTCTCAGAAAAACCGGGACAGCTATGCTTGTGGTCCCCTCATTTGCTAGGTAAACCATCAACAGAGGCAAGCCTGCAACGAATGGAAAACTGATTTTATGTCTCCAAGGTAAGTTGAGGGCGTCGTCGGCGAATCCCAGGAATAGCATGCAACATATGGACAGTAAACCAGCAAGAAATTGAATGAACTGCACGTGCATAAGAATAATCGTGATAATCTTATCATACCTGGCTTTTAAAGATAATCTCATGTTCCTTCCTGATCTTATCAGTCGGACATGACTATTGAGGTTAAGGTAAGTTGAAAAATCTTTTACCTCTATTGACTGCATATCAGCTTTGATAACCAGGTATCTCCAAAAAGGAACAGGAATAAACAGGAACATGATTAATAAGAAAACGACACCGCATATTACTCCCTGGGCCTCAGGACTGAAATTTAATTTAAAAAATATAGAAACAACATACATTGTTGGTTTAGTAGGTTTACTCATATCGACACCAGCGAATCCAGCACGAAGAAACTCTCCTTTGTACTTCTTGAATAGTTTCAACACAGATTTTGCACCAAATATGGACATGCAAACGAGAATAAAGATCTCAAACACATGACGATAGTTACTATGCAGGTAACCTTCGTTCGCGGATGCACATAAAGGATCCATAACCGTATATCGAGAACTGGAGGCTTGTGTTTGTTTGACGTAACCGACCTTCAGACTTAAGTATTTTTCATCAGCTGTTACGTACTGATTCAAACAACTTTGAATACCTATGAATTTATCATAAGAATCTTTCATGTAACAATATTTGTTGAGTGAAAGCAATGGATATGGCCTTTTTGGATTCTTTCAGATGAACTGTCGCAAGTTATAGAGCTGCAAGCCTAGTGGAACTCTTCAAAATATCCATCTGTTTCACTTTTGGTAGGACAAGAGGCTGAGTGAGCAGTGTGAGTCCTAACAATGATTGCATCTCAATGGATTTAACTATCTTATGGCTAGATTAACATATCCTTGTCTAATTATGTGTTGACGCAACGAGTTCCATTCGTTAGTAATCCGATGGTAAAGTCAGTAGACAGCAGACAATAATTTGTTTCGGTCTTGTAAGCTTTTTGAGCGTGTCCCCTTCAGTTCTCTGTTTTAAGCGACAAAAACTGAGAGCGTATGACTTGAAAACCTGTGATCAGGTTATGTGGAAAGTAGGTTTGGTTTAGTTAGTTTGTCTTCAGACAAGCGTTTCGTGATTTTTAGTCTAAGTTATTTAAATATTTTCCTACAACTCTTGAGCTTTTTAGGCACGTGTTGGCTGCTTATATGTGGTATTCCAGTTTGAAACGAACGAAAGATGTCACATGCAAAAGTATTGTCCAACTTCAAATATTCGTGACAAACAAAGCCAAACTTTTTGACAGCTATCCGACAACAGTTTACACTTGTGTTCAAGTTTTGGCTAATGATGACATTGTTGTTGAACTTATGAAGTGTGTGATAGGGCGATTTCGTCACTACCACGAAAAATTGATAAATGCTCACATAAGAAAATTATCATTCTGGACAAGTTGCTAGGAATCCAAAACACGTGTAGGCAGATATAGGGGGAGTTGTGGACTATTTTAAGTAACCATGGTCAATTTATGGTTATTCTTACCAATAAGTGCTCTTTAAATAATAGGATGACAGAACTTAGAACAGCTGCCTTAGTTACTCAAACCGTAATCATCCTACAAACGGAAATATGTTGTTGGTCTTCGACACTAGATGGTACTGTTTCAATATGGACCACAGAATGAGTGTATGATTTAAGATCTACCCACATAACTTCATTAACGTAGTATGATCAGAATAGAATATATTAAGCTCAGTACCAGACTCATCATCCCTTGCTGCATGCGGCACTAGGTATACGATACTTGTGATGTGTCTAGAATAACGAAACAGGTGTAACATATTTCAAAATTTTCAGAAACATTTCATCAATAGTTGTAGGTTTCAACTTCTCTTTAATAAACTGGAAGACAGGCACATTTCCAGAGAGATTAAAATAAATAGTAGCCGCTATAAACATTCATGGTTGAAAACAGTGTGTCAAGCGATCTGCACGCAGTAACAATATCTGGAACTTGTTATTCTGTCACAGCATTTACTTGAAATTACAAACTTCATTAACGTACTCTGTGACAGCGATCACAAGGTGGCAACAAAGCAAAAGGAAAGTGCGCGTTCAGAAGTGCGAATAAACATGAAGTTCAGTAAAACAATCGCTGGTACAATTAGTTATAATAATGATTGTTTCTATTTAACCAACCGCGTTTTCTACATAAAAGTGGAGTCACTACACATCTTTGTTGGGATGACCGAGTATTTGACATCAAGAGGCAGTCACTACAAATCCATTGTATTATCTCATCTGCATTGAATGCTGTAACAGCGGGAATAGTCCATATGAATTTTTCAACCTGAAATATTATCTTCTTATCAACCAGTTTATTTAAGTCATCCTTCGCCGTGCCCTTCAAACCGCACGAAGTTAGTCTAAGCTTTAGGAAGACAGGCTGCCCCTTTAATTCTGGGTGTGCTGGTTGGGCTTTAATTCCTCTAATGGCACTGGAGCAGTGTGAGACCAGGTCTTTGATCGCGGCACTATCAGGAGAATTGGTGCATAAATAAATGCGCCCGTTGGGTTATGGAGTGCCTCTAAACTGAAGCACAGATTGTCCTTAATCACTAACTAGGAAATGAACATTGGTATGACCACTATCCTCTTTCCTCACTGGAATGTTAACGGTGGCAATGATGAGTAGATAGTAGCCATTGGTCTCACGACTAGTGGAATTTAATTATACATCATTATTAGGAGCATTCAATTTCCCTTAGGAATATTTAACTTTAAGTAAACAGAACTTGTCTGTGTTTGCAATTAATTTTTGAATTATGTGTGATGTTCTGCCTACATTTTTCTGTCTAAATTAGCTGGTTCTGACCCATAGCCACTAAATGCTTTTCAAGTAAATGACTTGAAACTTTTATAAACTTTTGTATGTGTCCTACCTTTGAGCATTTGTGGCAACGGGCATAACGAAGCTGACGGGAGCAAAGAAGATGCAGTCCACCAAACAAAAGTCAGGGTTTAACATCTAGAGACGAATGAAAAATGCTTTTCTAGCTTCAGACTTCTCCGAATAAAATTAAACTGTTCTTATCAGGAGAAATCTGTGTTTGTGGTGTTTCGTTCTCTGAGCTGGTTGTTTTAGTTGTGGAGCTTTCATTGTTCTTCGGAACAACATCATCAGCACAAACTTCAGATAGAAGTGAAGCATTCGAATTTCTCCACGTTTGACCTGTAGCTTGTTCTGTCGAACGTGTAGAAATTAGAATGCTTCACTTCTATTTGAAGTTTGTGCTGATGATGTTGTTCCGAAAAACAATGAAAGCTCCACAACTAAAACAACCAGCTCAGAGAACGAAACACCACAATCATCCACTTTAGCTACAAGTTTTCTCCACCATCTCGAAATCTGTGGTTTCTGTAGTCTAATAGATTGATTCACATTAGCTGGAATCATACTTAGAAGCCTGTGTCTGAAGTTATAGTATGAAATCTCTGATTCTTTGAATCGGAGAACGAATAAACTTGTTGAACATAATCAATCAGTGGTCTCCTAACTTTGTTTTTCGGAAGCAGAATATTTTAATCCGGTTCTTTGACAAACAATACGGTACTCTATCGACAGCACTTATGAATGGGGTAAAATACAATCTTCCCTGCCTCTGTGTGGCAACAAGCAGGAATTAAAACACTCAATAGTCTCCTATTCCCGTGGTCATCCATTTATAGGTAATTTCCCCTGGTTATTTGAATCCATTTATGAAGCTGCACCAGACATGAATGTCAAATAAACCGACGAAATAAGACTTGCTTCAGATCAGCATGAACCTCGACAAGGCACAAATAAAAACTCAGATTTAATGTACGTATTATGGAATTGTATTGTATTACTACCAAAAATTTAAGCACAACGTAAAATAACAAACTGTACAACAAATGTATTTACTGTTCAGTACGGTGGCGTGTCCAACAATGATCTGTTATCCAATAAAAATAGTCAGCTCAGTATCAATTTCGAAGAATTGTAGATTGGTATGCTCTCGGGGAATCACCTATAACCCCAACAATATGCTAGGACGATTAATTCTTTTTCTTTTATACTGAGTTTCCTTTAATTGAAGCCTACTAACGTGTTTGGGTTCTCGTTTCTTCAGTGCCATTATTTTTCTGCTCATAAATCCAAAGTAACCAAATGAAAAACGCTGTGAGCGTTATATGAATGGGAGTGTGATTCGTACTAACTATGTTAGAGTTTATTTTAGACTATATATCACCTGTGTCTCATAAAAGCTGTATTGTTTGAGCTGATAATGTTGCTGGAATTAAACTTGTCAAAATGTATAGCTTGACTGTGCCATAAAGTTCGATTAGGTTATATGCGATCTCTTCACTTTAAGTCTTTTAACTGAATAATTCTTAAGTTCTGTTAATCCGTGTGGTTCCATGTACTATAAACTTTTTTAAGTGCTATTTCATGTTGATAATGAAATAGTACAACAGGTACTTTCTGACAGGGATAATGTATGTGTACTTGTAAATGTCAAGTTTTGCTAAGCTGGTATAAGATATGATACAGAAATCAGTTCAGCTAACTGGTGTTCTGTGCAATCTGAAGCTTTAGCTGAATTTAGCTACAATATCAATGAAACACTAGTTCAATTAATTCCAACTCCCAGTGATCTAGAAATCGTTGTGAGCTATGGGATCAAAGCCAATCAGTGCGGCCTTTTAGTCGAGTGTAAAAAATATGACGGTAAAGTCTCGTAAAGTCTCTTATTCAATAAACAACTACCTTAAAAAAGTATACTTTGCGATACATCTATCCGAACTACCAATATTTCTCCCATTCAGTTTTCCTGAACATCTTCCTTATCTATTCCGCAAACGTTTTGACAAAATCAATTTGGACACCTGTGTTAGGAAATTATTATCGCAACTAATTCCTTTCACGGGTTTATAACTTTATCTATGTTAAGAAAAGCCAAGTTAGATACAAATTTGTTTATTTCGAGTTATAAAACCTTAGCAAATTTATCGAAATTGACAACTTATGAGCGCACCACGAGTTACTGTTTAAAATTTGACTAAAGTCTCTAACAGTATACTGAGATCCATATTTTGATCCATCCCGCATTTGTGTGACTTATTAAGCGATGGGATTCATCAGGGAATAAACTTTTAACAGCATTGAACCTGGCTCCAACGTTTAGAAACAATTAAATAAGTCCAACTTTTAATTTTTTCATATCAATATTAGGCGAACCGTGTCTGTGCGACAGTGGTGATTAGAAACCTAATAAGGCTTTGTGGATGAATTTGCTTCACACATTCGTTTGAGCATTCCCCGCCCAGAATGAAGCGGGGAAGATGAGTGGGTCAACTCCGTCTGATGAGGCATGTCTAAGTATGACTAAGTAAGGAGCACAAACACACACTCAAGTAAAAACAATAAACGAATGACTGACAAGGTTGAAAGACTTGTGAACAAATCAAGAAGAATGCGTTTATTAATTTGTCCAAAAGATAGGACAAGCCAGGTGGGCATGATATATTAGCATACACTACAGACTTATTTACCAAATATTGAGACGTCATTTAATCTTCATATCTAGAATGACAAAATCAGCTCAAAAGTCCCAACGGACAAACCAAAATCGCCTGGCACTGAGCCAGTGAAACAGGTGACCAAGGTAACCAAAACCTTAATGACATACCGACAAATCTGCTGGTTGTTGTTAATCCCCCTGTATCTGTTAACAATATAGGACAGAGGGTGAATGTGAAGAAGGCGAATGAAAATACCACAACTCACAAGTGGCTACCACTCAAGGACAGGGACGACAGAATAAATTCACTTATTTTATTTAATGTCCCATTGTCAGAAGGTAGCTTACTAGATGGTTGGGCTGCCTTAGACAAAGAACAGTTGGATAAATGCTGCGCAATCCTTGGAATGTTCTTTATCCCAGCAAAAATATGCCGCCCTTTCAAAGGCCAGAATGTCTCGAAAGGAAGCCCCCTCCAACGAGGGTAACTCTAGACTCGACACGACTTGCCTTTGACATCCTCCCCTCATCCCAAAGACCATCGGTCAGATTGTTCTCCCCAATTTACATCGGAAAGACCTTAATGAGGCACTCTGAGCTTAGTACAGTTCTAAGAACGACCTATAGAGCCACATTAGGGTATTTCAAAAGCCGACATAGATCTGTGAAACAACAGCCGGTGTAGAAATATTTATTACTCTCGCAGCGAGCTCTGAATCCAAATAGGTGTAGGTTCACACGCGTCTCGCCCAGTCCAAGTCCAAAAATATAAATTCTGGGAAAGAACGGTTCTATTTTTAATCAAAAAGGGAAATACAGACAATTACCAAAATAATATTACACCTTCGAGTTTCTAATCACAACAATAAGTTCCGATATTGGAAGAATAAGTGCTTCCAGTCAGTCTGAACGAGCTGCTGCTAGAGTATCAAATCCGAAAATGACTGTAGCCATATTATCAATTTTAAACAACACATATATAGTTCAGAAGGAAACATAGAAACTTCAATATAAATACAATATATAGAAATAATAACAAGATACAAATGATAAAATCCCAAAATGGGATCAAATAAAGTACCAAAATATCGAACAGAAAGAGTCAGTCAGATCATAACTCAAATATATATATACACGTAGCGATTTTCCAAAAACAAGGCCTTCGAAACAGATTCTACTGCAGAAAGGCCATAGCAAACGCACAAAATGGACAGCTGACCTCGATCAACAACCCCTGGCACCAGACACGAAGATAACAGCCCCGTCGATTGAACTCACTGCACAGGCGAAAAGCCTTCAGTGGCCAGGTCTTACAGAACTGAAACGTAAGAGGAGTAAGAGGTCAGCTGTTAGAAACAGGAATATGTGCTCTCAGATGGATCTGAAGACCATAATCCTAACTGAAACATGGCTATCCCTTGACATTGCAGATGAAGAAGTGAGCTTGCATGACACTCTTCCGAAGTCATAAGGTGACAGAATCATGTTGGTGTTGTTTTCACACAAATGGCACGAGACAATTGAAAGGATTTACCGAC